CATATTTGTGGTAGTACATGAGTGCATTTTAATGATCCAAGGAATATTACATAACAAAGTTCTGCACTGCTAGAAATATGGAAATTTATTCTTTGAGAGTAGTTGCGAGTTTGACTTTAGAATCATGATGAACATCGTGGAATATGATTTACGTATTATTTTTCTTGATGAGGTAAGGTAAAATTGTTTATTCATAGCAACGAATACCTTTGTTCCATAACGCAATGAAGCTTACCTGTAGTGCATGATACTGCCGTAATCATATGGTACTCCACCGTTGTCCACATCAGTTGGCAGTTCCTTCAAAAATTGCCCCTTGCTATCGCGATCGATGTTCTCCCACCTCACTGTCACGTAATTATCACGATCCGGTCGAGATTGCTCATGCCAGAAACCCAGAGCGTGCGCAACTTCATGAGCTATTACACCTAACTGCAATGGTACTTTGTAATTTATTACTATTGGAGGTTTGAGGGTGCCCTTTTAACACTAGGGTTAATTTGCCTCAATAAAAAGATCACTTTTGAAGGCTTTTTACTTCCGCTGTCCGTATTTGTGCTGCACTTATCCTGGATTGGTTTTTGAAGAAATTTTGACTGTCCCCAGCAAAAACTAATGCAGAAGTCGGAGGTTTTGCAGCGGAAAACTGCACCATTTTATTGTTATTAAAAGGGAGAGGTTCCCAGCCATTCTACGTATTCAAATATTTATGCAGTTGTAAGGTCAAGAATTGTTTAATTATCCAGGTGACTAGAAGGCAACCGAGGATCCTATTATAGTGACATTTGCCAGCGATGCGTCCAGATAAAATCGAAGATTTATACCATCTACCCCAATCATTCCAATTGCCCTGGGAGAGAGAATTCAGAAGTTCAGCAGCGGGCTGCTTTCATAACCGCATTTTTCCCTGATCTGGATGCCAGGCCGTTCAAGTACAACATTTTTGGCAGCCGAATGAAGTCTTCAGGATAATTGTTTTACACGGAAGGTGCTGTAGTGTGACTCAAGCAGCAGCTGTTTAATACGAACCCGAATGCATTCGGGTGCTAACGAGACAAACTGAGGCTCGCCGAGCGGATGTCTGCCAACATTGGAAGCACAACCATCGACATCCGTGAAGACGATACGATTCCCACGTATCTCGTCATCTCTACGCTCGAAATTGAGGCACGTGATATTATGCCAGTGTTCCAGTGCTAGTTCAATTACCCGTTGCTCTCGTTTTGCTGAAATTACTCATTCGCTGCTTAAAATTGATAGATTTGTAGTACTGCGTTGTGCGGAGGGAGAACAAAAGAGAAAACGATGTCCTTCTTGTGCCTAAGAGAAGTTCTTGAAAACTTTCAGAATTAAGCACAAAACTGAAAGAATATACGAGAAAACTAGGAAAGAATAAGTTAAGAAATGTGTCTTTTTTAACAGAAAACTGAGTTTAAAGACGCTTGACTTACTGAGGAAACTAACGCAAAAGATGTATCATTAGAGGTAAGTTGATGCTTCTTTTTCAAATCCTCGATGGGCGTACCATGAAAAACATGATTGAAAATCAAAGTTAATAGCTTTTTTTGGTTATTTTTGTGCGTTTTTTGCAGCAATGCAATGTGAAAACGCATATTGACGAGAGGTTGTCTGTGTGTCTGTGTGTGCATCTGTCACGCACTTTCATCTCC